GGGAAGTAATTAAAACTACTACGTAGGAAATTGAATCTGCTGAATTAAAAAAAAAAATAACAAAATTAATGGATAACATTGGTCAACACCAAATGTATTGTCTAAATTTTTTCGCTGATTTAGGACAATTTTGATGTGCTGGTTGAATACTTCTGTTTTTTTCCTTGAAGAGAAGGACTTTGCGTACAGCTTCTGCACAAAATTGGAGTGCCACAGTATAAACTAAAAGTTTGGAAACTGTTCACTAAAAAAAAGTGTTCTGCTGCACAATGGCAACCAGTGTGCCTTTGTACTCGTCACTCACTCAACGACACTGAAGGAGAAATATGAAGTATGTGTTGGAGAAAATTATGATCAGCACGATTGGTTTATTTGCGTTGACTTGAAGATGGTGAACTTTTAGATGGGACAACAATCCGGGTTCACCAAGTATCCATACTTTCTGTGCACGTGGTGTGCTAGGGACCCTGATCAGCATTGCACGAAAAAGGACTGGCCTGTTGGCAACGAACGTCATCAATAAACGTCTGAAACTGAAATACGTCAATAATTTCTGAAATTTTTTTGTCCCATCTAAAAGTTCACCATCTTCAAGTCAACACAAATAAACCACTCATCACATACACATGCACACATACGTCTGTGGGTATCACACTGAGGGAGTCAAAAGTGTATACAGTAATAGCGGTGTCAAGGAAATAACTGTACTTTTGACACATCTTTTTTCATGCACAAAGTTTAAACAATGCCAAATATTAAATCAGAGCCAAGCACTTTGTAGAAGAATAACCTTTTTTGGTAATGATGGTCTTCGGTCATTGCCTCCGAGTAGCTGTTAGCTTTAAACATTCCTCTGCTAATAATTTGGATCACTCTTCTTGATAGATATTTGTTATTTCAATCAAATTACAAGGTTGACAGCAAAAAGTTTCAATCAGTTTCAGACCATGGGAATGACTGGGATTCTTCAATAGAGTCAATGACACATATCTGATATGTTTCCACCATCATATCAGATGGCATTTAGCATTACTAGTTAGACTAAAAGCAGTGGCAATGACATTTTGCACATATAAATGACGGATGTAAAGAAATGAAATTCAATTCAATAAGGTGGTATTTTATATTTTGGTTTTTGTATATATGAGTAAAAAAAAAAAATGCACGAATATGCATGCAAAAGATGGAAAACGTTAAAAGTTAAGATTGATGTAGGCGATACGTGTATATGTGCGTGTGTGTATGTATGTGTATGAAAAATTCAATTATTAAGGGGAAAGACAGGGAGTGTTCCATTTTTATAGCTGCTTGACAAAGCCGTCTAACGACTTTTTGGTGATACAAGCAAAGTTATATGGGGATAATGCA